CACCGTCGGGTCCCCTCTGCTGCCATCACCCTCCCCGGTGTCGTCCACTCCCAACTTCTGGCTGCCAACTATCCTGGGGAGGCGCTGGAGGGTCCTGATGTTGACCGCCAGCCTGAGGCCCACCTCTTGCGGGCAAGGGGACACAGGGGCGACAAAGGGTGGGAGAAAGGGCTGGAGGAGGGGCTATGGGGGTCAACAAGGGGATCCAGGGACATCTGAGGAGTCCCAGGGACATTTGTAAGGTCACAGGGATGTCTCAGAAAGGCACCATGACATCTGAGGGGCCTTGATGACGCCTGAGGGGTCTTGGGGACACCCAAACAGCAACCAGGACATCCCCTCAGGGACATCTGATGGGTCTTGGGGATACCTGAGGGGTCCTGGGGACACCCAAACAGCCACCAAGACAGCCAAGCACTCTTGGGGACACCCAAAGGGTCATGTGGACATCCAGAGAGCCACCAGCATATCTGAGAGGTCTTAGTAACACCTGAGGGGTCTCGGGGCCACCCAAGGAGCCCCCAGGGCCACTCACCTTCATCCGGAACCAGGCATCCTGGGCACAGTAGTGGATGTCACAGGCTGAGATGAAGTCAACCCCTGCCAGCAGAGGACCCTAAGCCTGGGGGAATGGATGGATGGAGAGACCCTGGCACATGTCCCCCCGATTCCTGCTCACCCACACCGACAAAGGCACCGTGCACCGCCACGATCACCAACTTCAGCCACTGCAGGGGAACAATGAATAAGGGTAGGGGCTGAAGGAACAGCCCCCACCTGCTGTCCATCTATCCATCTGTCTATCTGTCCATTCCAGTATTTCAGCAGCATTACTTGCAATACCAAAATTCAAAGCAAGTTCACAGACCAAAATAGAAAAAAAGGCACTTCGCAGTTAACTGCTCAGTGCTTGGCCCCAAATAACCGCTCCCTGCATGAACCACACAGCCCAGCTCTGCCCTGACATGCTCCCGTTGTTGTCCTTTGATGGAGGTGAGGACTGGAGAGAAAAAAACCTCTCTTTTGTGGGGGCAGGGGCTGGGGGTAAGAGGAGAATCAGAACAGAAACCCTGAAGACACCTGCCTGAGCAGTTTGTTCTCACCTGCAAAACTCATTGGGGCAGCCAGAAGTAATGGAAAACTTCACAGACCTTCGCAGCCAAGTCCAGCTTTGCTCAGAGGAAACACAGCTGCATTTTGCAAGGAGACAATTCAGAAGGCCTGAGAGCAGCAACTTCCGACACAGACTTTTAGATGACCGGCTCACTCAAACCCAGTCACGTTTACCAATGCTGGTAGAATTGGCCACTTCACCCTGTGAGTCAGCCCTGACATCCCCACCCACAAACTAAAGGGAAACTGAACAGTGATCAAACCACAAAGGACCCTGGGACAGAACTCCCCCTCAAGACTCCAAGGAGAGAGAGGCAGCTGCATGGAGACCTCTGGCTTTAGTTCATTATCCCTCATCTCCCCACACGGCCTCACCTAAAGTCATTAATAATGATTGGTGATTGAGAAACATACTGTACAAGTCCACAAGACCAACCTCTCTGCCACTGGAGTTCAGCTCTTCCTCTCCTGATGTCATCAATGCTGTCGCGATCAGCTTCACCTGGCAGCAGAGCACGGCCAGGCAGGAGACATGAAACATTACAAGCCTAGACATGTAAGAAAAACATCAGTCCTCTTTGTCTTTATTCAAATAATTAAGCTCTTGGCTTTGTAAAATTAACTTCTCCACATGACCAGATGACTGTTTGTAGATAAAAAAGTCTCTTGATAATTAGAGTACAAGTCTGATATAGGAGTGTACGTTAAGCACGGCAACACCTTAGCTACACAGCACACTTTCTCAGCTCAAACATGTTACGGTACACATCTGACAAATGCTGCCAAATTATTAAATGATAGTTTCACTAGACCACAAAAAAGGGAATAGCATCATTTATGGGGGTTGTTAATTTAATTTTCTCAAGAGGCAAAGAAAAGAAGAAACCAGGAAAATAAATGGCTACATGTCCCAGTATCTGCAGGCTGGTGTAGAAAGGGTGCACAAATAAAAAGCTGGGGGAACCATCCGCAAGATACCTTAAAGTTTTACAGCAAAACACCAAACACTCAGCGCAACCTGAGTTTGTGTGGGAATGACACGGTGTAGCTACACACGCCATCACAGGTACCGGACGGCACAAGTCAAAGAAATAAAAAGCCTTAAAAAAATTGCACTCGCACGGTTTAGATCTCCTTTGTCAGCCTTCTGGAGAGTAAACAACCCCAACGGCTTCTGGAAACGGCAGCAGAAAAGCCGGCGTAAACGTGCAGACGCTGCGACAAGGTCCCGCCCCGGTCCTTTCGAGCTCTTCCCTGCTCCGCGGCCATCTCTGACCCAGGACAGCACCGGCCGGGAACCGGCGCTCCAGCTGCTCCCGCCCCAGGAC